CTTGGGACTCCAACCCAGGGAGAGGCTCACTCTGGTAGAGGGCTTCGTGCAAGCCTGCACGACCCCACTCCTGTCCCACAGTCCAGGAAGCCCTCTTTGAGTGTATCCTCCCTCAGCCTAGCCCAGCAGTGCAAGACAGGTTGCGTTTGAATTCTGGCTCTCCCTTTACAGATATGGCATCTTGGATGTGTCTTGACTTCTGAGCCTCAGGTTCCTCATGTATAAAATGAGAATAACACTTGGATGCACCTCTCAGCGCTCAATGATTATTATGCCTCCAGACTTAATATTCCATAGCAATTCAGGAACAGGGCCTCCAAGTCCTAGCCTTACTACTGCTTTTTAATGACTCCTACATTGAGGAGGCTGATCTTTTGCCATAAGATCCTTCTTTTCACTAATAAAACTTGTAGCAAAGCTAAATCAGAATTAAGTTATCCAAGCATGCCTTAAGAAGCCCTCTCCTCGTAGGCTTGAGACACCCGGAGCCATTCCATGCTCACCAGATCCAGAATGCCAGACTTAGGGAAGACATACTCTAAGGCCCTGCAACCTACTGGAGGAAATAAGCCTTCAGGCCTTTAGTGAAGCAAAAGTATTGCCTAAGAGGAGGGGTGAAGACATGATGAGGCTAACGGTCAGATGAACTCTAAAGGGAAGGAAGAGGCCCCAGAGAATCCACAGAGTCTGCTCACCTCGGTGAAGTTGATCTTCTCACCATTGAACATGCGTTCCCGTGCAGCCTCCACACCCCTGGACTTGGCCTAGGAAGAGAAGAAACCGAGGCCTGGTTCCACCACATTGGCCACGAAGACACCAAGTTCCCAACTGCAAGGCTTGGTGCAGCCCATAGGGGGCTGAAAATGGCTACAGCCTGACACCCTCCTCCACTGCCTGGGAAGGGTCTGCTCAGAACCTGAGCCAGTGCCAGGAGCTCAAAGCCCTGCACTGGCACACAGGCAGTCACTGAGGTCCACTGAGAGAAGGAAGTAAAGATGCTCAAGGACTTCTGGGGGCTTCCAGGAACCCAGCTTGCCCACCACACCATGGGTCACAGGTCAAGTCTCCCACAGCAGAATATTACCAGGTCCACCAACATCTGCATCACACCCTCTGTCACAAGGTTCTTGGAGTAATCCACCAGAATACGCCCATGGTTGGTGTTGAGTGTCAAGCTGCAGAAAGATGACAGAAGCCGTTGACCAGACCCCAGGTCCCCCCAGCCTGCTCCCTGACCAGAACTGCTTCTAGAAAGAACATCATCCTTGTGCCTCCACCGAAACAGGCCTCAGCTGCCAAGCACAGTGGTCGTGTCTGTCACCTGCCTGTCCACCTGGCTAACGCAGCAGCAACAACACAGTGAAAACAGTCGTGTCTGTCACCTGCCTGTCCACCTGGCTAACGTAGCAGCAACACAGTGAAAACGGCCACCCTGTGAACTGAGATGCAGACCTTGGATGAGGAGCCATTCTTCCGCTAAAACTGAGCTGGGGGATGGGAAGACAGAGAGCTGGATGCACTGCCCCTGCCCAGCCCAGGGAGTGACCACCCCCTTCCAGAGCTTCCACTCTGTGGAAGGACCCAGATGACAGGGCTGACCACCGGAGATTTCCAGTCTGGAGCCACAGACCTCCCCTCCCCAACTTACCTGCATCAGTGCCCCCAAAACATGCTCAACCCTATTCTTGCCCCTCCCCCCCAAACTTCCTCCAACAGATTCCTTTCCATTTCCTGGTCCTTCACAGGTCTCCAGTCCTAGCCTCTTCAGCAGAAATCATGCCCCCACATCTCTCTCTACCTTTCCAGCAGGCTCCCTGCGAATCCCCTAGGCCTGCCCCCACCCTGACCGCACCCCGCAGGCAGTCCCAATCCCATTCTCGGGGGAGAGCGGATGGAAGGAGGCCATTCTTCTCCGCCTGCTACGTCAGTGAGGGTCCCTCCGTACAAGAGCGGAAAGAGTCCCTTCTCAAACCGTGAGAGCTGGACGGTGGGGGCGGGAGGAGGGTGAGGGAAACGTCCTCGTGAGGGGAAGCCGCGGAGGGGCCCACTTCTCATGACTAAGCAGCCCCGGCCCCAGGACCTCCGACGAGACCCGGGAACCCGCTTCAAGGAGACGTCAAGGACAAAGTGCGGCCTGGACCTCGATCCGTGGCTGGGGTTCCCCGGAGACTGTCGGCCTGCGCCCCGGCTCTCGTCCTGCACACCCTGAGCGGATGTGCTGCGGGTTCGCGTACCCTAATCCCGTCCCGCACGTACCGCCCGCCTCTGGCCCCGAGCGCACCTGAAGCGATTAAAACGTTCCTTGTCCGCTTCGAAAAGGCGGCGCAAGTTGAGGTCAGAGCCATGCTCGCGGTGCCATTCCTGCAGCTTCTGGAATTGTGGATTCTTGGTGAGCGCAGCCATGGCGAGAGCAGCAGGGTGCACAGGATGGGACGTGAGCCGAGGAGGAAGGAGGGCGGGCGGCGCGCGTCAAGCCCAAGCC